ATCGTCTTTCGACGACATTTGCAGAATAAATGCAGATACGGGGCCAATTTATTTCTTTGAGGTTTGTTCCTTTTTTCGTTAGTTTTTTTTTTTCAGCAGCTGACCAGAACGTTGTTGGTTTGGTCTGAGCCCTGGCGGTAACATTTTCATTGAGGCGGCATGCCATGGGGTCCCGTGCATTGTGCGATCTCAGTGCACGTCAAACAACACCAGGCGGTCGGAATTAGAGAAGCCCACCACTGCAGTGTTGCCTCATATTCATATTTTGGTATTTGGAACATATACAGCTCCGCAAATTATTATTTTTTTCTTTTTTTATTGTTGTTACCGCAGCGGACACGAACGTGACGTTCACCTTGCGCGTGTTCAACTACTACGATTCCAAGGAGTACGGAGAGGCCTCGGTGACGCTCATCGTCGGGTCGCCTCCGCTCACGGCCGTCATCAAAGGTTCGAGTGCTAGTGATCCTGCGTACTCGTATTGCTTTGTTGTGTGCGTTCATGTTCGCGTAGCGATAGAAAACTACGTTTATGAAAGGACACAGTGACGAGGTGTGATATTGGAGGCTGCTGCTAACAGTAGCATCAAGTAGAAAGTGCAGCGTGTGTGTGTATGTTTGTGTGCGTGTGTCCGTTCATTCATGTGCAGACTCGCAAAGCTTAGAGCTTTTAGAGACACCCAGCTGATCACTACGTTAAAGAGAAAGGGAGCGTGCTGCAATACCAATCTAAAAAGTACGGTCAAGATGTACTAGAAAACCACAATGAAATACTGAAGATCATAAGTGTAACATAATGTCAATACACCCAGACGCAACGTGACAGCTAAAAAGAAAATGTTTACGAAAGGAAATGCACAGGCTACAGGCATTGCTACGCGACACAAGTAATTGTAGAATGTTTAGCGTTTCATTGTGCGCAACATACGGGTGTAAAAGAAACAAATTACAAAAATAACGCATTTTATCAGTGAGTTGCGATGTTGAATCACATTTAATAGTATTGTGAGGTGACCAGCTGTTACGCTCACGAGTAGATAGGATTAATTTTAGCAGGAATCGACTCGCGATATGTGTTAGATCAGTGGTCGGTGACCTGTGGCCCGCGGACCACTACCATTAAGCTCCCTGCAGGGCACCCCTCCTCTCCTTGTCACTTCATACCTCCAGTGTGAAATTCCTGTCTCGACTGTCAAGAAGCTCTTTCCGTAATAAAAAAAAATCAAGATTTGTTTCTCAGTCAAAAAGAGACTATTTCTATTCCATGTTTTCCCTATATGGTTAATACGCCAAATTTCTCTTTGTCTGCGAAGCGCCCGTCCCCCCTCTCCTGTAAACGTCCGGCGTACGCCCTGTCGGCTTGAAGCAACTCAGCATTCTGCGAAAAAAAAAAAAGTTGCCCACAAGTGTGCTAGATCACATGGCCTTGAGTTTTTTTTTAACACCCACCGCGGCGTACAAAAGGACGTTGGAGGCGACTAAAGTTAATGATCGTGATGAGATATATAATAACACTTATAGAACACAGAAACTACGCGTGACTTTGCTTGTTTAAACATACGCCATTTTTCATATATAGTGTCTCATATATAGTGTCGTCGCAAGTGTTGTCACAGGTTGGGTAAGGTCATTTCTTATTAACGTTACCAGCGCTCTAAGAGCAGCGTTCAATAGTATGAACTATGCATATTTTTCGCTGTCGACGCTTTACGAACCCCGTGCACTTCATCGAAACTCCAGGTGGTCCTCTGCGAGTCGCTGGTGTGAGCCAGAATGACGTCATTCTCGATGGATCTCTATCGAGTCCGAGTGTGAAGCCGCTGGTCTACCAGTGGAGCTGTCTAGATGAGGTAGGCGCATCTCATTTGAGTATCACGAAGTCATCTACATTGTTGTCATCATTTTTATGGCCATCATCGCTGTTGTCAGGCTTCGCTTCGTTACGCTAATGGGTTGTAAGTATTACTCCTGAGGTCCCAAGTGTCCGTAAAACAGCACCGAAAAGCTTAACATAGTTCGTAGTATAGCGATGCAAACGTCACCTTCGTGCGCCCTGTAACTACAATGCTATCGTTCCGGTGAAAGCCCAAGACGTACAATGCTCCCCTCTTCCCCCTTCGCGAAATAAGCGCGCACGGGCGACCACGCACCGTAGGAGAAAAATTACACCAGCCGGGCTGCCGAGTGCGCCCTTCGCGCCATCTTTCTGAAAAAGCTGAGAACACACTGATGTTCCCGCCAGATGGGCATATATCACCATCTGTATAAATGGTGTATATAAATAGTTCGCCGTTACTACTACAGAGGACGTGCGCTTTCCTGGCTCAGCAGCTAACGCAGCACGCTGGGGAGCGAGAGGTCACGCCCGTTTGATTATGCAAGGCGGAAAATATTTTTTTTGCTGAGTTTTGTTCGTTTCTTATATACATATATGTATTGTACGGGCATAACGACATCGACAGACGGCGACGACAAGTGGCAAAGGTTAGCCGAAAGTATCCATATAACAGCTATCGCAATGGGAAAAAAAATGTATAGGAAGTTTGCATGAAGTTGCGCGAAGGCTGACACAACGAAGCTGGTTGATTACTTCGAACGACACTTTTTCAATATTTGTAAAAAGAAAATTGCATGGCACTCTGTAAATTCCAAAGTGTGTTTGGCGAAAGCCTGGGTCCATTACATTGAGTGTCATGCGCAGACAAGAAGGCTTAGTCAATCGATTGGGCTCAGGCTTTCGCCGAACGCACTTTGGAATTTCCAAAGTGTATTTATATTTTTTTAACCTCATGCAGGTGGCGCGCAGCAATGGCGCCTCAGGAGTTTTTTTTTTTTCTTTAAGAATGTCTGACTGCCCAATTTATTACCTTTGCTATTAAAAGCAGAAAGTAAAGTTTTAGAACTTGAAATACAGGGAAGGAACATTTAAAAATTAAAAAAATGCACCATTTATTTTCAAATTCTGTCTCGATTCACTGTTTGAGTTGTCCGATTTGTTTTCGCCCTCGAGGACCTGCAACCATGCTACGACTACGGACCTGCAGCGGCCAGCGACCTGCTTCTCGAGCCGCTGGAGACGAACCGCGACGTTCTCCGTGTGATGGCCGAGAGACTGGAGCCCGGGAAGAGGCTCAACTTCACTCTCGAGGTCTTCCGCGGTGACAACAGCAGCGGCGAAGTCGCGGCCGCCTCCACGCTGGTCGTCACACGTGACGAACCCATACCTCTGGTGAGGAAGCGACTGAACGTGGGTGCTTGGTGGAAGCACGTTACTGTACGGAATAATGTCCGCATGGTTACTTCCAGCTGCCTAATGCATTGGCGCTCTTTGAATAACTAGGTGATTAAATGTTTTCCGGAGAAAGAGAGAGAGAGGTAGCTAGGGTAACGTGAACGTAATAGGCGCAGTTTTTATTTTTCGAGCAGCGTTTCTGATCATTAGAGTTTCGTAAGGTGCGCAATAACTATGTTTTTGTTGCCACAGAGCGCCCCCTCCCTCTCGGAAGAATTTGCCTTCCCCGCCTTTGCCCGCACCTCCCATGTCCCTAAAGCACCGATTTAAGGTAAGCAGTATGACTTAAAGTAGTCCTCCTTTCATACGCCGTGGTCTAGAGCTCTGGAAGTTTCAAACACGTAAGAATCATGCACCCAAATGAACGCACACGGGATATTTTGCCTACATCGAAATGGGGCCGCTTCGGGCGGAATTCAATCCGGTGAGCTTTTTTCTAAGCTTTTGTTATATTCCTGAAAGATTATGAAAGAGATATAAATTTGTGTAAAACCGGCGTGGCTTTTTATATTCAAATTGTGCGATGTGGCGTTGAGAGAGAGAGAGAGATGTAGACTTTATTAATTTCTGGCAGATTGCTGGGATGGGCTCCTACTTAGGGGCCAACGGAGAGACCGTATCTCCCGGCAGCTTCCTTGGCCTGCTGAATCGCCCAATGTTGCCTGTCCAGGCCCAACGCGACCGAACGTCTTCATTGGAAGCCGCGACCCCAGAATTTCTTACTAATGCTGGACATTCTCATGGGATATGGTCAAGAGTGGCTCTGGTGGTACAGTACTGGCATAGATGATAACAGATTATTTATTGATTGATTGATTCATTCATTATCACTAACCCCTGCCATGTGCACCGCCTTCGGCACATGCTGCACCCGTCGCCTTGCTGCCCGTGGTGTGAGTACGAATGAGCCGACATGGCGACTGTACACTGTCGTCCTTCTTTATGAAAGGGAACACGCGAACGCGTGGCCTGCGCTCTGCGGCGGTTGCCTACAGCACCATCAACCGAGAGCAAAAGAAAACACGTTCGCTTTCAGCGTCATACGTTGCCAAAAATAATAAGTTATGGCCGGTAGACAAGCGCTGCTAGATTGCACTTCATCTCTGCTCAGGCCTGCAGTGCGTAGTCCACTGTCAACGTATCAAACGTTGTGCGCGACCACGGCGCAAGCTGCAGGATCGTAATCTAGCAGCGCTTGTCTACCGGCCATGACTCGTTATCTTGTTTGGCCATAGATTACGCCAGAAGCGAACGCGCTTTCTTCATTCATCGGTTGATGATGCTGTAGGTAGCCGCCACAGAACGCAGGCCACGCGTTCGCGTGTTCCCTTTCATGAAGAACGACAGCGTATACTTTGGGAATGCGCAATGAACAACGAGAGGCCACGAGAAAGGACGATGCCAACTGAAGGGGACCCTCTGAAGCGCCGTGCCTTGCTGAGCGATGGGAAGTCGCCTTGCTCAGCGGGGATCCTGAAGATCAGGAGTGGGCCGTCCAGCGGGCCAAGGCCATCGCTGAGGATCTCGAAAGATGTTCCTCAAACAGTGGATCTCTGGCAGCCTAGCCCCGGGCTCAACCGTTGTTCCAATGAAGTTTAATTAACCCAATTTATTTATTCACTCGTTTATTTTGTGAGCAAGTTGGCGTGAACGCATCACCGGCTTTGTTATCGAAATGCGGTTATCGATCGAACGCAGGTATCCCTTGATGAGATACTGGTCGGCAACAAGCCGGTGTACGAGTACGATGCCGTGACGGACACGTATTCGGTGAACTCTGGTCCGACGGTGGTTGTCCACGCTGTCTTCTTTGTCCACTCAAAGGCTATATCGATCAACTGGAACGTCCCAGGTAAGCGAAACTGATTGCGTCTCCCACGCTTATAATTGCTTGATGGTTTTTTTTTTTTTGCCTACTTGCTCAGTACGAGAGCCACTGCTAAGTGTGTCAAACTGACATATAGTGAAGCTAAGGAAGATGCGTAGAGTACATTACTTGTATGTTTTATCTTATGTATATCGATTAGTAGATAGAGAGAGAGAGATAAAGATACAAGGAAAGGCAGGGAGGGATTAGTAGATAAATGTAAGTGAATCGAAGGTAATGAAAAATTAACGTGCTGCAGGCAGACACTGAGCCCTTAGATAACACTTCCAAAGTTCTACCAGCTGAGCTACGGCAGCGGTCATTTTCCCATCCTCTTTCTGGGGTATTCATGTTTGTGAAGTCGTATGTAGGAGTGTTAGCGAGCGCCGTATACGACCGGGTCCTACTGGTGGCAGGTCAATTTTTCATCCAGTTTTATTGCTCTACATTTACATCGTAATTGACTGCGCTACAGTTCATACATACCAGAAATGTCCCCTACGCCTCTTCTATTATTCTTGTTGGTCTTGTTAGGTCGTATCTGACTGAATAAACTGTCCATCAATCGGTTATCTCCCGTTAACTTCAACGTGCGGGTCATGTAGTACACAAATGTATTCTTTCGCATGCACATTTCTTGCAGGCTTTCCATGCCAGTACAGCACGGCCGGTGTTAAGAAAGGACTGGAGGGTCACACCTACCTAACGCTGCCCGAAGGTATGTGCTGGGCCGGACGTCTCTTTTGCTCTCGTGGCCTCCTACATCGTCCGTCAGTGCTATCAGTGACACCAATTTCGGCCTAACGAGGCGTCAGGGTATTCTAAAAGGACACCAAAGGGAAACAATAAATCCGTTTATGTTGATAAATCGTACTCCGAGAACTCTATAATGTTCATTTCACCACCATTGGTTTATTATGAGAGGAGAATATCGAGGACAAAGATTCATTTTTGAAATTTCGCGCCGAAATCGTCGCACGTAACGTCACGGATTTCACAAGTGCATTTTTCGCATTTTGGTGATATTGGCTCAACGAAATTTCCCGACACTTGCTTTAAGTATATGGCCCCTTCAGAAGACGGCGTATTTTCTATTTACTGATCAGCAGCCGCTGATGACCTACTAGACTCCATGCATCAATATCTATGGAAGTAGCGATGTTTGAGGCGATAATTTCAAGGTGGCGTCGCCACTTGCATTTTATTTTCGCGCTTTTTCTCGTTTACCAAGCCAAGCGTGTTCTCACGGTAAGCGTGAGATTTGTAATTACGAAAGAATAATTTGTTATTAACCAGCAGCAGAAGAAAAAAGGATGTTTAATGAGGAGGAGTGGTCGGCCTTGAAAGCGTGTTTCTAGACTGCTACTCCTCACGGGGGTAAAGGAAAAGGAAAAAAAGAGAAAGAGGAAGGTATTATGAGAGGTGATTGTGGTATAGCACAACGAGTCACTGCAGACACTGCCCCGTTTGGCGTAGGACACGCATTTGCCGCATTAGCCATGCAGTGCTCTAAAGACGATAATCAAAGCCTGTCTCACTGAGAAATGTGAGCAAGCCCTTTGAGCTGCGTCGGGCGTGATATATACACATTCCCAAGCACCCAAAAGCTCCTCTTCTCGGCAGTGTATAGGTGATGTGCGCGGCGCTTTAGGTATTGTCTTTCGGCCGTGCATTGAGGACACGCGCACAGAATGCTGATGAATAGTAAGCAGAAAATTGTTTGCCTTCTTAGGATCCCAAAAAAGTATGGGAGGATAGGGGAGAAGAGTGCAGAACTGTAATTTTTTGCTGGTTTAATATACTTACTACATGATTACTAACTATCGTAGGCACAGCGCAAGAAATAGGCAGGAAGGAAAAGAGAGACGACAAAGAGGCCTTGATATCGATATTCTTTATATCAATATCAAATTGTGGCCTTTAGACGGAACACATTTCTGTAATAGCAAGTTGCAAAAAAAAAACTGTCCGTATACTTACTGAGAGAAAAATGAAGTATTTCTGTAATCTAGACATATGTGGTGATGTATGGCGGGGAAGCGGACCTTCTGTGCGTACGAAAAACCTGCAAAGTTCACCGTTTGCCGTTTTCATGTAAATTTAGATTAGGCGTATTGCAAATTCTGTGGGAAACTGACTGCTGTCTTTGTAATGGCCTTTAAATATTCAGGGCAGAAGAATCGGTCCAAACTTGACGGCCTCTAACTTTCGTGCTTTCGATTTTGAGACGAGAAAGAGACGTGAGAGCATGTCTATCGGCGAGAAACTATTTTTTTGTTCAGGGAAAGTTGCGTCCCAGCATGTGCGCACGTGCAGAAGCCTTTGGTTCGTTGTGAGTAACCGCTTTCATTCTGCGAGTTAATGACCGCAATCTATAGCTCGTGATTTGTTCTGTAAAGTATTTGATAAATTGCGAGGCACCGCTCCTAAGTTTGTGTTGGCTCGAAATGTATGACTGCAATCGCAAAGTTACACGCATACTGGGTGCCAATGTGACAGTGCCGTTCATAGGCGTGTGCAGGGTGCCCAAATAGGGAAGAGGGGGGCAAGGGGGTGTTTCAACGCAACCTCTTCCCCAGCTTGTCGACTACAAGGAACGTACGCTGCACCATGGATGAAAAAAAAAATGTAACAGTGTCGTGCTTCCCACGATAGCCTGGCCTTAGTTCCTGACTTTCCGGGAGTGAAATATCGGAAGTTAACAGATGTTGAAATGCATCATCAGGGGCCTTCGGCTGCCATAATTATCATGTACCTGCATGGCCGTAACTTAGTGGCTGCACAGGTCCGACTGAGTAAAAGCGTGGAACAAACTTCATCCCCTCCCCCCCATCCACCCCTCCTTCCACCCATCCCCTGAGGGCATATGGTGCTTCTCTTCGGTGCTTGAAGTCCGGATGCAGCTGTAGATATTTCCTGTACCGGTGCAAGTACTCTCTGCTTCCCCTTTTCTTAAGGAAGCCTGGTTCCCCACGGCTCCTACACTGCCCATCTGGAAGTGTGCGAGAAGTCCCACTGTGGAGGCATCAACGTGTCGCTGAACGCCAAGCCCGGGCCGTCGCTGTGCCGACTGCAGTTCGAGGCCGAAGAGCCGGTGGAACAGCTCAACCTGGTAAGTGACGCTTCAACTTACGACAATGATTAATAAAAGTATCCATTCTTACGATACTAGCAACCATGCGGCGGCAAAAAATGTGCAGCTCACTTACGAAACATGTTTTCCCTTCGGGATTACCCGAACTGAGATGCACCGAAGCTTTCCTTCAACTAGACTCAAAGAACATTTTAGTATGAGTGTTTTATGCCGAGTTCCGCCACGACTCCACCGACGTATTTCCGTCACTGTTATGACGTTGTGAAAAAAGATAATCAATTGCAAATAAAAAGCAAGAAAATATTCCGTTGGCGGGTGTCGAACCTATTACCTCCCGCTCCGTAACGCGCGGCGCGAAACTACTCGGCCAGAACGCATGCCTTCTTCAAGTTTTTAACCGCTAGCTATTAAAATACACCAGATACCGTTGGCAGTCCTCAGAGCTCGGCGACTTAAGCGCGTTTTCGTCATCACTGGCGAAATGGCGCGAAGGTGGCGCGGGGGGGGGGGGATGTTCTCTAAAGGTCGTCGCCCTTCGTTGCGACGCACTCGCGCCTCCACAGGGTGTAGTCGCTCGTGCGCGCGTGCGCTTATCTCGTTTATGGGGTATGCCTTGTGCTTCCACCACAAGTTTTCCTTGAAATTACAGTGGTTAAAAAGTTAAACGCGGCCACTGCTCGCTGTAGGGGCCGCGTTTGACTCATGAAGTAACAATTGTGAGTATTGTTCGCGCTCGCGCTTTGTATATGTCTTCTTTCTTGTTTGAGCAGCGCGGTTTCAGTGTCGAGCTGCAACGGTTGTAACTTGTTAGTCCACGCTCCTGCTATGTGTGCTTATTTCATGGGTCCTTTCTGCTCTATAGGTGTGCGCTGCGAGTTTAGATCTTCTTGCCGTTTTTTTGCGTTACATTAAAATTGAAATTACTGCGAGCTGAGTCGTTGCCTAGCAACCGCAGCAGCTGCCATCGCCACACGTCATGACGTGAAAGGAGGAGGCAGTGAAATCGCAATTGCGTTTCTAGGTGAAACTCAGTGTGTGTGTGTGTGTGTGTGTGTGTGTGTGTGTGTGTGTGTGTGTGTGTGTGTGTGTGTGTGTGTGTGTGTGTGTGTGTGTGTGTGTGTGTGTGTGTGTGTGTGTGTGTGTGTGTGTGTGTGTGTGTGTGTGTGTGTGTGTGTGTGTGTGTGTGTGTGTGTGTGTGTGTGTGTGTGTGTGTGTGTGTGTGTGTCCATCCGTCCGTCCATCCATTCGCCTGTCTGCCTGCCTGCTGAGTGAGTCATTGAACTGTATAGGCGGTCACGAACCGCGACGAGCTACGAAAGACAGACCCATGGTTTTGGGAGCTTCGCTCCTAAAAAGCTGCCTGCATCTTCCCACGAGGGAAACTTGAGCAAATCCGACCGCCACCGAGGCCGGATTTGCGAGTAGGTGCGACTATAAAATGTTCCGCATTTAAAAGGACACCATCTCCCGCTAAAGGGAACTATGTGTAGATGCGAAGCGGCGAGTGCTAACGCTGAAACTAGCGGTGGCGCTCATCGCTTACTGCTGGCGCTCATCGTGGCGTTGCGCAAGAGAGAAACCTGTAGTGACCGATGTTTCCCTACTGGAACATGCCAGCTGGTCCTAATGGGCAATGAGAAATCGAAAACGCCGATTAGACACAGAGACCCACAGTTCGCTTTTAGTTGACGCGCATGGTGCGATGTTTTATTGTTCAACAGTGCACAGCAGAAATCCTCCCACCGGCGCTTTGCGGTCAAGATCGAGACGAGGTGGCTCGTGAAGAGTTGTGTAGCACGAGCTAGTCGGCTATACCCTGTCTGTCGGTTCTGACGGCGTGAAGCTGTCTGAATTATTTTTGATTCCGTCGGCGTTCTGCACATTGTTCGCAGACGACAGCCGTGGTGCATGCATGCGTGGCGCCACCTGGATCGCAGCCGATGACCTACCAGCTTTGGGCGAATGATGGCGAGGTGGTGACGGTGCCGCTGACCACAGTGCAACGCTCACCTTTCCTCCAGTTCATCGTGCCGTCCGCAAACTTCAGTTCCGTCTGCGTCCATGTGAGTGCCTCAGTGCTACGCTGCTCTAAACTTAGATTGTTATACTAAACCTTGCAGCTTAGGTCACACAAGATGGGATCACAGCTCTAGTTCACTCTATAGTCATGCCAGAACTTATGGGTAGCTAGCTGGCCCTGGCTTGGCTTGGCTGACGATATTTTTCTGTCCACGACGCACGGCCAACGTAGAGACCTAACAGAACACTCGGCCGATCCAGCAAGGGCGAAAAATAAAGTTTTGTCTCTCTTTCTCTGGCGTAAACACAATGATTGGCCGACTCCCACAGCTCACCACAACTGGTACACAATGTATTTACGAGAGGACACATGGGCGGCAAATATCGGATAAGATTTCTCTACAGGCGTAGCCAGTAATCGAGGAAGGCCTAAACGAACCTTCGCGATTCAGATTCGCTTGTTCACCATCTGTACAGAGTGCTTGGGCGGCGATCGAGCTTGCGTGATGATCCGTGATGATGATGATGATGATTTTCTATCTACGACGCCCAACAAGCGTCGATCATAACAGCTCTAGTATAATACCTAAAATAGCTATTTATCGAAGTTTATATATATAGAAAGAGAGTTACTGTGAGCGAAGCAATGGCGATAGAACTCGGTTCTCGGGCCGTATGATAAGAGGCACGGTCGTTCTTACCAATGCAGCATTCGTCTTCAAACAGACGCTTAGTACCAAGTAGCCCTTTTTACTTCATATCTTTTCTCAACGTCGGGTTATTATTAAATGTGTATCTTTCGCGCTACGAAAAACTCGTTTCAGGTGTGCGACATGTCGCTGCAATGTGGCATCTTCTGCAACGACTCTCTGGAAACGCTGCCCGCGGGGAACCTGAGCGAAAGCCTCACGATGGCCTTCAAGAGATCCGCCATGCAGTATCGTCAAGGTGCGATGCAACTCTTCGCTAGTGTACACAGATACTGCACATTCGCTTTCCAGTGCTTACTCGTCATGTAAAATGATGGCTGCAATTTTATACTCTCATTGGTTGTGCGTCCAAGGTCCGCCTTGTTGACCACCAAGTTTCTGCTTCATAAGCATGATGTGCAGTAACGGTCACAAGCTGTGTACTTACTAATTATATTCACTGTGCACACTGTATACACCTGAAGGGACAAAAAGGTAGCAGAGATGGTCAGGGAACAGAGGGGTTTTAAGGGCACCTTGGTATGTAAATCAAGAAGAAATGGTTATAGGCATGTAGCGTGTAGGTAAGACAACCGGTGGTCATTAAGAGCAACAGACTGGAGTCCAAGAGAAGGCAAGCTCGTGGAGTAGGTAGAATATTTGCTGGGCAAATAAGACCAAGAAGTTTGCTGCGATATTCTGGCCGTAGCAGCCGTGTATGACCAGAATGGTGATGATACGCACGGGTTCTTTTACTCTCACATCTTCGTTTACAGAAAACTTGGGTAACATTGACTGCAGTATATGTCGGTGCGGCCAGGATAGGGACTCTAGGTATTACCACATCAGAACTGATGGTCAGGTGTTACGCAACCTGTGAAATTTTTGTCTATATATCGGATTTTCCATCACTTGTTAGGAACAGGTATCTAAGCCCAAGTGCTGCGGGTCAGAGCGAATGTCGGCGATGGCGTCCGGCCCGTCTTTGCCACGTGCTGGCAGCCAGCGTCAGTTCACCATTAGCTAGATTTGAGGTCACCGAACCTGCCTTTGCTGACCGCTCTGACAAGTTTTACCTGAGGTCAACGTATTCTTGCTCTAGACGTGGGTGTGAGAATAAATGTGCGGTCGGTGCTGGATGCATTTCATCATCAGCCCGTGGCTGCGCTTCCTGCGGGGCATCTCCCATGTTTCGGCAATCTACCCGATTTTGTGGTTGCGTGGGCCCGAATAAATCCTAATCTACCCACCTAAACTTTCAGTTTACCCCGCGCACTTGTATAACCCTCGAATTCAGCCTGTTACCTGTATTGACCAGTGGTTATCGTTCCTTCTCGCTACATGCCCTGTCGATGCTCGTTTCTTCTTGATTTCGGCTAAGACGTCCTTAACACCCCCTCCCCCTCCCTTTTTTTCCGACGCATGCTGCTCTGTTCTTGTCCCGTAAGGTTTAATTTATAATGTTTCTTTTTATGCCTCTCTGTGTCGTCCTCAAATCCAGTTGAACTGTTTTCGTAAATCTCCGGGCTTCTGTACAGTGTGCAATGCCTGGTGTTATATATAGTTGCGTATTCTTAGTCTAAGCATGGGTGCGAAAATAAAGATGTACTGGATGCCTATCATCATCAGCCCGACTGCGCTCACCGCAGTGCATTTCCCATGTTTCGCAATTTAACCCTGTCCTGGGCCGGTAAGACCCAGCTGTTACATACATGATTTTACGTAAGACACATGGACGCCGCCACCTTGGGCTTTTAAAGAGATGTTTTCTTATTTTTGTTTATCGCTACATGAACGAATAATACCGTGAAACGTCGATTTCTCCACCCCAACTGTTCTCGTGCGCATGCGTCTACTACAGCCCTGCTCGAGTTAGAAAACGGCAAGGTTAACAGCCCAATCTGGAGATACCGAAACTAATCCTCAAAATAGTATATATACCTTTCTTTTGAGATATACAATGTTCCATTCATGAATTCGGAATGCCGCTCAAATGTGTTCCGCCCCGTTCTTATATGCTTCATATCTGCGGTCAGTCCCTTCTATCAGTAGGTGTACTCCGTTTCCACTTCCAGTACGTGCCTCGCTACCTATCGCGAAGCGCTGTTCTCTTCCCAGAACATTGAACATTAGTTTTCGGATGCACGTCATTGGCACGCAAATCAGGCAACAAGCTAGCGAGCGTCGTGACCCTGGTGTCGGCGCTGTCCGAGGACGACGTGGAGGCACCCGGCCGGGTGCTGGACCAGCTGCTGGGGGCCACCTTCCAGAGCAC